TATTTATTTCTTAACCAAAAACGAAAACTTTCAACTTCTTGTTATTTCACCTACTTTTTATTATTATTATTATTATTATTATTATTATTATTTTATATTTTGATAAGAAAAGTAACATATCACAAATATATACGTAGAAGAAGAAAAAAATATTAATTAATTGCACACCGTGTGTGTGTGTAGTTATACTTTGCTATAATCAGTTATTTTGAGTTATTAAGTATTCGTCGAGATTAGAATTTTTTTTGGTATTAATAATTTCTTTAAAGTATAAAAAAACCAAATTTATTAAAATTTTTTTATTATATTATATTAACAAATATTACATATATATATTAATAATTAATGATATTAATAAATTTATTATTTTATAATATAATTAATTTATATTAATATGTTATTAATAAATAAATTATATTTTATATCTAATTAATATCATAAAATATATATTAAAATTTATAAAAAATTAAAGTATAGAAAAACCAAAAAATTGGCAATATAACAAAAAAAAAAAAGGAAATGGCTCCTAAGAACCGTATTTGAAAAAAGTCGTGTTCTTCAATTAAACAAATTATTAAATATATACCAAATTAATTCAATACTTGTATATAATATTAATAATAATAATAATAATAATAATAATAATAACAAGAAATGTCCTAAAATTTTGTATAGTCCGAGAAAGAAAAAAAAAGAAATTATCTCGTGGAATCTACGATGGCCCATACGGATGGTGCACTAAACATCGAACGAATTGAAATGAGGAATGGTGGATGGAGGTGGTAGGTGGAGGTGGGAAATAATATCGAATATCAAATTGTATCTGTTAAACGGTGTGTTTTGTGTACGATCGATTATTCAATGATAAACGTGAACGTGATAGAACAAGCGTGTTCTTCGTCGAGTTCGATAACGTACAATTAATATCGATTGATTCGATAATTAACAGGGAGATATACCATTGGTCCGGTATTACAATTAAAGTACACATTCACACGCACGTACTCACGCACACGTATCTTTCGTAAATCGAAAATTTCATTTTCCTTTCCCCTTCAGTAAACCCATGTACGAATATTAAAAGTATATCATATCGGATTTCGCGTTACCACTTTCATTTCTACCCAAATTCATTTATAATATGATAGAAATAAAAAGTAAAATAGAAAATATATATAATATATTAAATATTTAATAATATATAAAAAAATATTATATTATATATTATTATATATATATATATATATATATAATATTATTTTATATAATGTTTTTAATATGTAATGTATAAAATTTTATTTTTTATTTTATTTTAATTTATTTTATTTTATTTTATTTTATTTTATATAATATAATATAATATAATATAATATAATATAATATAATATAATATAATATAATATAATATAATACATGTAATATAAAATATTTTATCAATTTTATTAATTTTATTTAATTTTATATAATATTTATAAAATATAATATTTATAGAATCTTTATATAACAAAAAAAAAAGCATTTTAAATATCGCGCCCTTTCTATCACGATAAAAACGTAATTAAAATGTTTTTAGGTAAAGGTACGTTGTCTGCAACAGCAGTCACGTGCATTTAGAATCAACTTTACACGCTTATACCAATACACAAACACCCCCACACACATTCATTACATACATATACGCAAGCGCATTGGAAAAGGATAGAAAATCCGTGACTTCGATCGCGTAGTCCACGTAGACGACGACACGTTTGCAACGTGAAACTCTTCCTCTCATCCCCAACCAACCCCTAAACGCACACTCCCTTAACAGATATATATTACTACACGTATAATACACAAGCAAGCAAGCAAGCAAGCTTAGCATAGTAGTAGAGTTCGTGCTGAAGTACGTCACTGAAATTATTGCACGTTTCTGCATATCTGAATGATGCTCCGCCATCATCCTAGAATGGGGAGGAGTTGTAGGGGGAGGGAAACCCTCCCGGAAGGTTTCCCTACACCCTTTATCCTATTCCACCTTCTTCTACATTCTCTCTTTCTCTCTTTTTCTTACACTTTCTTTTTTTTCTTCCAACACTTGAAAGGTTTCTGCTCAGAACACTTCACACCACCCACCATCACGTTCCCCTAGAGTCTTCTATTCTCATTTTTTTTTCTTTCTCACACACACACTCTCTCTCTCTCTCTCTCTCTCTCTCTCTCTCTCTCTCTCTTTCTTTCTTTCTTTTTCTTTCTTTTACACACATTTACCCGCTTTTTCTTTCTCATTCTTTAAAACACTCTCTTTCTCTTTCTTTTATACGCATTTACCCTCTCCTCCATTCTCATTTCTTTTTCTTTTTTTACACACATTTACCTTCTTTCTTTCTAATTTCTTCTCCCTCTCTCTCTCTCTCTCTCTCTCTCTCTCTCTCTCTCTCTCTCTCTTATTCTCTCTCTTTCTCTTTCTATTTTTTTGTCTTTTTGTATTCTTTACACTCTACTTTACTCACCCAACCAACTCTCTTCGTTTTCATCCCAAGTAGTCGTTCATATTCTCTCTCATTCTCTCTCTAACACAGATACACTATATGCATATAACCATCCATCCATCCATCCATCCATACACCCACCCACCCACCTAGTAACCAACCAACCACCCCCTTTGAAAGCCCTTTCTAGACTCCCTACCAACCCTCTCTTGCATCGGCGAAGTGCTTCCATGACAAATCTCATTACTCCGCGTTTTTACGCCCTGATGAGAGAGAGGATGGCAACGACATCAACGTTGGGTGGGCATCTACCATCACCAACCACCACCACTACCACCACTACCATCAACCAACCTTAACTGTGCTTCTAGTCACACTTTGATAGTGTTAGGTGTAATGGGGGTGCTTGGAATTGTGATAGTAGTAACGTGGTGTGTTGTCCCCCTTTTTTTTATGAGGCTTCTTCCATCTTCTTTGTTTTTTTTTTCTTTTTATTTTCTTGATAGAATATGGTTTGAACTCTTTTTCTTTTCTTTTTATTTTTAATTTTGAATTATAAATAAATTTTAGTTACTATTGTATAAGATATCTCGTATTATATTGTAAGACCACACATGCATATGCACATGCACATGCACTAGAACTACTGAACTAGAAACACTAGAACACTGGTATAAATTATTATTATTATTATTATTATTAACATTACCTAGATTAATTATATAAATCTAATAAATTATTATTACTATTAACTATAACTAGAAACACTAGAACACTGATATAAATTATTATTATTATTATTAACNGTGGTGGGTATCATCGTGTCTAAGTTTAGAGAAGAGCACGACGGGTGCGCATACCTGCTTACCCAGAATCCTAAGCGATGACATTATCGTGGGGTCAAAGTGTGTATGTGTGTGTCAAAATGTATGTGTGTGTGTGTCAGAGGGAGAAAAAGATAGGACCGTGAGATGCCCTGGACATCACACCACACCACAACCAATACCACTACTACTATTACCAGTACAATTACACTTGCGTATATACATGAAACTAATTATAGTTTCACGTACCGAGCGTGTCCTAGTCCAAGCTTACCAAGCACAACCTTTATCTATCTATCTATTTAACTATCTATGTATCTATATATTCTATGTATGTATAGATAATAGGAAGGAGTACTCTCTTGATCATCTATCGTAATCCGATTTGTAACATTTAATTCTTTTTTTGTTGTTACTAACAATAAACCTATTTTGCTTGGACGTGTTTTGAAAGATATTTGTTTAGGATTGTTTTAATGTTAGTTTTTATTTTATATTAGTTATAATGTTTATTTATTATTTATTTTTTTATTTATTTTAATAGTTTATTTATTGTATAGGAAATTAATTATTAATATATAAAAGGATTGTTAGATTTAATATTAAATGTAATTGGGTTGGGTGGTATCCTGCATATCAGCAAGGGATGATTTTAAATATAAATTAAAATTATAAAATATAAAATAACATAATTATATTATAATATATATATTTATAATTAAATATAATAAAAAATATAAAATAAAAAATATATAATAAATTTGAAAATTTGATATGTTAAATAAATGTATTATATTTCTTTTTGTTTTGTATCTTTTTTTTTTTTTTTTAAGGTATATAAGTTTACAAGTAATAATTAATGTCAATAGAAATTTTATATCAATAGGATCAATAATTGATGACATTATTTAAAATAGATCATGTAACTACGTTATTAAATGATAATGATGAATAAATATTGACAATCAATATAATTATTAAACATATTCAAAATTAAATACATTTTATCATATTTAATACTACGAAATATTATTCTAATCTATTTTTAAAAATTTTTTAATTAAAGATATTAACACACAAACACACTCTTGTGTTAATCAATTATTATCACGTGTTACGATTGATCGTAATATAAATGTTTGAACATCATATCAATTAGGATTATAAACAAATTATCAGTAAATCTTGTTAGTCCAATATAGAGAAGGAATAATCTATAGTTTGTGTCCTATTTGATATGACAGATTGATAAATGACAGACAACACGTAGGTGTGTGTCTTTGATGGATTAGGTAAACGCTTGAGATACGCTTGCTACCACCGAATTGTTCAACACGTATTAAATGATCTTAATAATACACGATAGATCACAATGTAACTATGATTTTAGCAAATTTCTCATCTTGTGATGATTAACGAAGTTAATCGATGATGATGATTTTAAAGATACATCATTTAACCCTCATATTAACTTTGATATATCAAAAAACATAATTTACAATAAAAATTGAATTTAATATGAACATGTAGATGATGCAAATAAATTTTTGAAATTTAATCACATTTCATTAGTTCTAACTTTTCGAAATCGTTTTACGAACTATATTTAATTGCTTGTTTGTTAAAAAAAAAAAAAAAAAAAAAAAAAAAAAAAGAAACAAAGTATTTCTCTAACTGGTTCGCAATTTTTTTTATTCTGTTACAGGAGGTAGGAAGTATTATTGGAAAAAAGGGAGAAATCGTCAAAAGGTTCCGCGAGGAGGTAAGTCATTTGTAACAATTATTTCTATTTTAATTACAACACACATATACAGAACACTTTTCACCCCTCTATAACATCACGCCACTTTGAAACGATATTTTATTTCTTCAATACTTATTTAGTAAATTAATTTAATAATTATTTAGTAAATTAATAATTTCATTAAGATCGGTTCAGTAATTTCGAAGTTCATTAGAAATCAACAATGTAATACTGAATTTTTCTATATAAAAATTTATATTAAAAAAAGAAAAAAATGAGTTATAGTAGGGTGATAATAAATATAATAAACAAATGAAATAATATTAAACAATGATTATATAGGATAATTGAAATAATAATAAAATAGTGTTTTGATTGATTGATTGTATTTGAATTATAGTCCGGCGCAAAGATCAACATATCCGACGGATCATGTCCCGAACGAATAGTGACCGTAACCGGGCCAACGAATTCAATATTCAAGGCGTTTACATTAATATGCAAGAAATTTGAGGAATGGTGCTCCCAGTTTCATGATATCCAGGGTGGTGGAGCCGGTGGTGGCGGTGGCGTACCAAGGCCACCTATTACACTGAGACTAATCGTACCAGCTTCTCAATGCGGTTCACTAATCGGTAAAGGTGGCTCGAAGATCAAGGAAATTCGTGAGGTGACAGGAGCCTCTATTCAGGTCGCCTCTGAAATGTTGCCGAATTCGACGGAACGAGCGGTCACCATATCGGGCACGAGCGAAGCCATTACGCAGTGCATATATCACATCTGCTGTGTTATGCTAGAGGTACAATTTTGTTTTTATTTTATTATTATATACTTTGAGATAATAGGTTACATTTTTATGAATTATCGTGTACGGGTGTAGTTGAATTTTAGCCAAATACCATCACCTCTAAGATAAAACTATTACAAATTTCATAAAAATGTAACTAAAATCTAAAAAACAAAAGTAATTTTATTATAACACGTTCGTCGTCGACCTAAAGATTTGATTAAATTTCCTTAAAGTAATGAGCAAACATACCCCTGAATGTTTTGTTAACTGTAACCGAACGTGTTAGAATAATGTTGTGTATTTAATAATGACAAACACTGATTCGATTGATATTGCATTGGTGGTTTGGGCGTTGTTCTTTTTTCTGTTTCAGTCCCCTCCCAAAGGTGCCACGATCCCTTATCGCCCCAAACCCCAAGTTGGTGGGCCACTGATCCTGGCTGGTGGGCAAGCCTACACCATCCAGGGTAATTACGCGGTGCCCGCCCACTCGGACGTAAGTACAGTATTGCCATTGCCCGCGCCCGCTGCCGGGCCCACCCCGCCCTCGCTGAATACCCAAACTTTGACTACCTCGCCCTTCGCGGCCCACCCCTCCTCATCTGCCTTTACCGCTTCTCACGGTCATCCGCTCCTATCAACCGCCCACCTTACCAGCCCACATCATCCTCTACACCCAAGCCCCTTACACGCCAGCGTGGCAGGCCTCGCCGACCCCCTGCTGAAGAGTGGACACTTGCAGGCAGCCCTCCCGCCCGCACACCTCGTGGCAGACGCCGTAAGTCTTTTGTTTTTCGTGATCCACCCCGAATCCACCAAGAAAAACAATCTCAACCAACCAAACCAAATCAAACCCAACAACCGTATCTTCTCTACTGCCACCCTATTTCAACAAAAAAAAAAATCAACAATACCCCCCCCCCCTAGCCCTCACTCTCACCCCTTTACCCTATATAATGAACCCCACTTCTGTACCTCTTAAACTTATCAACCCCGTCTCACCCCTGTCGTTGATTGATATCGTCTATCTATGTATTATATATATATGCACACATATATACATACAGTTTAAATTTAATGTATATATGTATGTGTCAATATATATATATATCTCTGTCTTCTTCTTATTATTATTCTTATTCTTCTTCTGTATTCTACTCCTATACACGTATTGTCATACATAATTCACTTACACGTTCATGAAACACTTCTTTATTCTTCTATATAACTTATCTTTATCCTAATCCCATAGATAGGTGGTTTTATATATATATAGTTTGATAAAAAATGGATTCGTGATTATTCTTTCTATTTTGTTTTTGATTGAAAATATTTTTTGGTTCTTTGCAATGATTAAACATTAAAGTTTTAATAATAATTTGATCTAGTCGTTTTAACCGCGTGTCGAGAAGTAAACGCAAAGTTCAGTTTCCCCTTTGGTGGGGGTTAGAGGGTGGGGGATCGGTTTTACTAGCATATATACTTCCAATGAGATATTCTCGACGTGAAAGGGCTTTTCACGCCCTATGTTACGAGTAACCAAGCAAACAAGGTTCTCTACGACACGCAATTTAGTTGATCCCCTTCCTACCTACTCCCATCCACTCCCGCACACACCGTTGTACGACTACTGCAACACAAGGTCTTGAAATTCTAGCCACGGGTCAGAGGATATCGTCATTAAACTCGAGTATCTAACCTTGTTCGTCAGCACGTTTGCTGAGTTAGGAGAGGGATTATCATCGTAACTGCAATCGGGTACATTAAATCGGGATTCTTGTTGCTTATTTGATAAGTTAACAAACACAATTTCAATGTGTTAGATTTTCTACGATTGTATTTTTTCAAAAAATATTTTTTATTTTGTTCATTTTTTTTATATTTATCAAGTCGAGTCATAAATAACTTCCGTTTTTATGAGACAAAGAATAACGTTTTTGCCACTAATAAATGTACGACACTTTTCATGGTGTTTTTTTTTTTCTTTTGCACTCTTTGTATTTGTTGGACGTATCTATTGAATTTTGCTCCAATATTGCCTTCAAAAGGTTCGTTAAAGTTGAAAACACGTCCTGCACTCGGTTCGTCTTTTAAGGTCGTATCTCCAGAACGGAATTTTACAAGCCAATTTCTGTCTCCTCTATCAGTTATCAATCCTGTACCACCGTATACGCCGCATATTTTTTCAGCTGCCACTTTAGTGCTATTGCCTTGTTTCAATTCTTAAAGTATTATATGTGGAATATGCACTTTTTACTATCCATTTCAGAAGTTAAGAAAAACTGTTAAATGTAACATTGACTACATAAAAAAGTTGACAGAATATTAACTGAATCCTCATCTATACGGTGATATCAAAAATTCGTTTGTTTCGGTTACTTATAGAAGGTAAATACGAAAAATAGATTCTACATAGACGCATCGGAAGTTACTTATGACTCGACCTAATAGTACGATAGAACAGATAGTGTTTTCTTTTTTTTTTTTTTTTAAATGAAAGTTTTTTAGGATAGGTTGATACAAATAACCTTGATTTTTATTTTGTTTATTTTTTTTTATTATTAACACATTCGCGGCCGGCATAGTGTTTCCTTTTTTAATACTGAGTACCGGCAAAACTAATGAATTGTTTAAAAATTTATGTTTAAAGAATAAAATATAATAATATAATAAAATATAATTATTTAAATATTATATTGAAATATTTAATTATAATTTTATTAATATAATATATATAAATTTATTTTTATTAAATTTGTAATATTTAAAATGAGACGTGAAATCACGTCAGCAGTCGCGAATGTGTTAATTGTTCTATCTTGTTCTTTCTTTTTTTTCTTGCTTTTTTTTCTACGAAATATTTTTAGGATAGTTTGATACAAATTAATTCGGTTTTTGTTTTGTGTATTTTATTTTTTTTTATTTTTTTATTTATTAATTAATTAATGAAATTTATATCAATCCGATTTAAAACGAAATGAGAAACACACAAATATGAAATGAAACCTAAAATTAGAATTAACTTTACAAGAAACTTTGAACAGCAATCTTCACACCACTTTGTCCTATAACCTTTGACCCAAATTTCTATCTTTTCATTAACTATCTCAATCTATTTCTTCTCTTACCTCATCACCAACAACATAGCATCAACAAAACCACCCCTCTCACCCACTCAAAATAAGAAATGAAAAAAAACAACAACAACTCTAATACCTCTTTGGCTTTTTGCTCGATGTTTGTGTCCTTCGTTCAAAATACTATGCGCGCAGTCTCGAGAAAAAAAAAAAAATCTTCTTAGGAAGAAAAATAAAAAAGAAATAATAAGAGATAATAAGAAAGTTAAAAAAAAAAAAAAAGATCATTTCTAATTCTTTTTATCTTTCTTTCTTTCCCTTTTGATGAATTTCTGAAAAAAAAAAATAAAATAAATAGAAATGAAGAGTCTTTAGAGTAGAAGAAATTTTTTTGTGAGTTAACGTAAACAAAAAAAAACTTTTAACTTTGTGTACMGAAGAAGAAGAAAAAAATTTTTCTCAAGACTGCTGCGCATTTATGCTTAAAACGTCTTTTTTCTTCTCCGATAACGTGACTATTCATTATCGTTGTCCATTAAACTTGATCTATAGCAATCTCTTCAGTATCATTACTTTTCTCTCTTTTTCTATTTCTTTCTTTCTTTCTATTTTTTTCAATCGTACAAGATCTTTTTAAGAGTGGAAAAAAGAGTAGGTATCTCGAAAGTCAGAAGAAAAGAAAAGAAAAGAAAAGAAACGAAACGAAACGAAACGAAGATCTCTTAAACTATTTTTTTTTTTTTTTTTACCTCCCTGATAATTTTCTTCAAGAATTTTTCGCAATCAAAGTATGTATCTGTGTGTGTCTGTGTCCTATTGATCCTTTTCTATTTCTTTACTCTTTCTTTTAATTTATTTATTTTCTTTTTTTTTTTAATCTTAAAAAGGATCTATCTGCTAAGGATGGATGAGTTATATATATATAAAACGAACATAACCTATTCAGTATTCATTTGAGTATTTTTCGATCTTCGATTGAACTTCTCTCATTATTTTCCTTTTTCTATCCTACTTTTTTTTCTTTTTTAATTATTTTACTTTCTATTTGATCTATCTAAAGAAGATTTTCTTTTTCATTCCACTAAAAAGTATTTTTTTCTTTTAATTATATTACTACACCCCCCATTCGGGAATAAATTAAAGATGTCTGAAGAGTTACGTTTTTTTTCTTCCTTTTCTTTTTTTTTTTTTTTCAATCTTAGTATACTTTTATTTTTATTTTTTTGTGCTAAAGAGAAAGAAAGGAAGGAATAAAAAAAGGAAACGATTATGAGGTCACCAGCTCGGAGATAAGGCTTTTTTTGGCTTTTAACCCCTTCAGCAGTAAGCATTTTGAAAAAAAAAATAATTAAAATAATCATTTTTTTTTTTTTTATAAAAGCATAGTTTAAAACATTGTTTTGACCAAAAAATAAAATACAGAAATAATCAATAGTTTTATGTTAATTTTGAATTTTGTTTTACATGAAAAAAGATTATATTTTATTAACAAATAAATAATTGTTATAGTTTGTAAATGATAAAAATCAATAAAACGATTCTTTTCTTTTTTTTTTTGCTTTCACATTCTTATTTTCAATTTTTTATTATATTTGAGTGTAAAAAATCATAGAAATATAAAATAATACGCCTCTCGAGTTAATTCGAGCGTGCTACTTAAGGGGTTAATGTAACTCGCACGTGAATGTTGCTTATGTACCATTTTAAATGTTTATAATATTCTTTGTGTATATGTGGCGTGTATGCGTATAATACGTGCGTGTATGTGTAAACGTTAAATCAATATATATTGATATAAAATAATATATTATATAATAATAATTATTATAAAATATAATATAATATATTGATATATTATATTCTATGCATATTTTTTTTCTCATCCTATATTTGTTCTTCATTGTTTTTATTTTTTTTTTATTTCTATTTTTTTTTTTTTTTTTTAAAGTATCTTGTTTGATGAACTTTTTATATACATTACTTTTTTCTATAATATAAAAATAAATATATATATATATATNTATATACATTACTTTTTTCTATAATATAAAAATAAATATATATATATATATATAAAATATTTATTTAAATTAATTATTATATATAAAATTATTATTATATTAATTATATTATTATATATTACATAATTACGAATATATTTAATAATATTAATAATATTAATAATATGTTATTATATTTTATTATATTATATATAAATAACATGTATAATATATTTTTCACATTTTTTTTACACATACGCGTACCTTTTCACTACCTTTATCAAATTGTCTACATATACATATGTTTCTCTCTCTCTCTCTCTTTCTCTCTCTCTCTTTCTCTTTCTACTTTGTTTTTTCCGCATGCTTGCGATTGATACTTGGTTGAATGATTTCTTCTTCGCTCTCTCTCTCTCTCTCTCTCTCTCTCTTCTCTTCTTTTTTTTTTTTAATTTTCTTCTGCAACAACAACAACTACAACAACAACAAGAACAAAAACAGAAAAAAAAATAGAAAGGAAAGATAAAAAAAAAAGATCAAAAAGCTTATGGCTGTCGTTTCCCACCCTTTTTCACCTCTCTTTTTACTCTCTTTTCTCATAACTTGTGCACAGAGAGGGAGGAAATTTTTTTTTTTTTTTTTACAATGCATGCCCTTCTTTCTTTTTTATTTTTTATTTTTTTTAAACTACACGAGCAACG